CCCCTCCACGTACTCTCCGCTCCAGCATCCAAGGCTTTCTGTTGTCTATGACGTAAGTCAAACTCTCGTTCGGTGGGAGGTCGCTCATTCTCCTCTGCTGTCCGTATTGTCTGACATTCCCCCCCCCCCCCCCCCCCCCAGATATCCGTGCTGTCGACTCTCTGCCCCTCAGGCTCAAGACTTTACTTTTCTCCTCTGCCTATGATGAAATAACCCCCGCGTTTCTGTACAGCGTCTTGAAATGCGGTCACATTTAGTTAGAGAGGAGATATGAATCCCCACGCTTTCGCGTTGTTGCTTAGCGTACTGCACTATGCACCCCGTGAGTGACTCGAGCGCAAAAAGCAAAACGTAAAAAGTAAAATAATTCTCATCAGGCCCCATGGTGTCAAGTGCCATCTCCAGCTCTATTATCCACCCTCCATCTCTGGATTCTCTCTCTCTATATACGTGCAATGAAGAAGGGCGAGAAGGCCGAAACGTCCCTTTTAAGTACTTTTCTTTTTAAGGCCACAGTGTTATTGATGAATGCGTTGAGTTTTTTTGTTATAATCCATCAATAAATCGCCTATCAGCAGACGTACCTGAGCAGCAACTTGTGACACATTTTTTGCTCTGACAATGTTTTTCTTCCTCTTCGATGTGACCCCTCCCATTAGCTAGGCCATGCAAACCAGCAGCAAGGCGGGGTGATCGTTATCACTGTCATCTGGAAAAACAAACACTTTAGAATCCAAACAACTTGTTTCTAATCTACGCTCGTGGAAAATGTGATTCGCTTTTCCGGCCCAATCTCCATCAGTTAAACCAGCATGGAAAACTAGTTTTATCCTCCCCCCCACCCATGTATTTACAGCCTTGTGTTCATCCGTGTATGTGCCAGTGGGCGTGAAGCAAACACATGTGCCTTCGCCTCCCTTTAGAACACTAATTAGTAATTACTGTCACAGTTGTAAAAAAAAAACCCTTTAAACGACAAAAGGCCCTCGGGCTAGATGCATAAAGATGAGATTCACAAAGGCGCGCAAGCAATTGGCATTGTTCACAAATTACACACGACGGCGTGCAATAAGCACCGGCTTCCCTCAAACACCATCAACTTGAGATGCGTTGGGTATGATGCAACTACGCAGCAGACACAGGACACGGAACACAGAGCACACAACAGTACAGACGGCACACACGCAGCACAGAATACACAGCAGAGTGCGCACGGCATGCACACTACAGCAGCACAATGCAGCACACACACACAGTGCAAAACAAGACACAGCACGTACAGCACACACAGTACATGCCACGTGGTGAGCACATTTCGCAGGGAACGCGGAGTACACCTGGGAGCGGCTGTGAGTGCCAAAGCGGAGCATTCCCATCTCTTCCAGTCTACACACAGGACGCAGTGTGTGTGTGTGCGCGCGCGATAGACACTTCACCTGTGATTGCAAACAACTTTAGCTTGTGCCCTTCAATATTCCTACCACGTTCTAAATGCTTATACGTGGAACCGGCCAAACACCCCAATGAAGGACCCTCCTGCAAGCAGAACAAAAAGTCTTGAGTCTCAGAAAGATTTTCCTGGGGTGAATCATTGGAATGTATTAATGCGGTTCATATTGATCACTAAATCTCAATATGGCAGGCACAACTCTCAGCTAAACGCCAAATGCGATGCTTGGAAAACATTTTTTTACCGTCTTGGTGACGCATAACATTTCGTCAGCGCTAACTTTGCATGCAAGACGGCGACTGAGAGTAGCACTTTCATTATCACTACACAAGAGGCTTTCCCAGGGATTGGTCACGCAATTAATTGATTGGCATTGAAATAAAGGTGACACGAATGGCAACAAAACAATAATCATCGTTGATTCGAAGCTTTCGTGACTGCAGGAATTACTCTTTGGTACGTTATTATGTTATTTTATTATTTCTTATTTATACGTGGCTTCACCGAAAAAACAAAAGAGTAATTCCTGCAGTCACGAAAGCTTCGAATCAAGTCTGAACCACCTCTACGGGGAGGTATGAGGTTTGTGTCTTTATGTTGTCTCTGCTTATGTATCTGCCTTTGTGTCTTGGCTTGGATTTGTGTCTCTGTGCTGTCTCTGCCTGTGTGTGGGCCTTGTTGCTTCCGAGTGGGTGCTGCCGCGCCCCCTTTGCTCCATGCATCACTCATGCTAATTTGTCCCATTGTCTCTCAGCCTTACCTTCTCTGCCTATTTAAGGCGACTTCACTGTGTACGTGTCTGTGCTAGTTCGCTCTACTTGGATGTCTATGTGTGTGTGCATGGTCTGTATTTTAAATTTCATACTTAACTTGCAATTTAACAAACTTTGAAATAGCGTAATCAACCAAAGCATGCGTTAATTGTGTTTTGACCGACCGTCTGTGTTGCTTTATATGGTTTCCAAATTTTGCTAAACCCTGTTTGTTTGGTATGCTTCTCTCTCTGTGTCCCCTGTTGTATCTGTGTTAGTTCCCCCCTACTTGGGTGTCTGTATATACATCTGGGGTTATGTGTTTCCTCTCTCTCGTAAATTTATCTCTTCTGTACCTGATGATGGCTGCTTGTGTTGCAACCGAAACGTCGTACGTTATTATGTTATTTTATTATTTCTTATTTATACGTGACTTCACAGAAAAAAAACCAAAGAGTAATAATCATCGTCTTGGGTCACGCCGTACGAAAGGCCGCTTGAAGTTGTACCGAAAATGGAGAAGAAAAACCGACAACAGTGAAAATTAGCATTGGCATAAAGAGATCCCATCCGTGGTGCTTGCCAAAGCCATCGCTACGAGCGCACGCAGCGGATTAAGTACAGCCGGCTACACCAAGTCTCGTCGTTTGATGTGTTCAGTACTGCGTCGCGCGAACGGGGCCCGATCGGAGGCCCAGCCATTTAGCGTAACAAAGCAACGCCGCTCCGAGCTGCTTCATCCAATTAAGAGACCGTTTTTTTTTAAAGGGCACCCGACGTGGCACGTGGCCGAGGGTAAGCTGACAGAGAGTTTCACAATATTGGTATTGTAAATCGCTGGGAATTCTAATGAATAATTGTGACCCCCCCCCCCCCGCCATCATAAGTGTTAAAAAAAACACTAACACATTTGTCGTCATCAACGTGGTCTTAAAAGAAAAAAAACACAATGGGCGACGTTTCGGGCAACGGCCCTTGCAGTGTTATTTACGATTGTTTAAGACGTAGGCTTTCACGATCAATATCCATAATATAGGTTCCTTCTATTTAAGGAACGAAACAGGAGGATTTCTCCACAAATCTGGCTGTCGCCTGATGAAGCTAGTTGTAATTACTTGCGAAACGTCGTACTCAGATTGTAAATGTTGTGTATTTGCTCTCCAACACACCGACGCACTGTACTAGTAACGCATTGGCATGTTCTGTTGACGTGACAACCCTTACTAGTTGGCTGTGTCGAGTGGTGGCGGGTTTAACGACACATTTATATTTACGCGATCTAACCGAAAAAAAGAATGTATAAAATAATCCATAATTATGGATTATTTACGACTATTTGTTGTTTGTGCGCCACTGCCAAGGCAGTAGCATCAACAACTATTCTGTTGGAGTTTTCTTTTTTTAAATCAACAATTTTGCTTGAACGAGGCAGCACTGGCCAAAATGCCATAGTTCAATGTCTTCCCGTTTTTCTTACTCGTGCACCAACCCCGATTTAAACCAAAAAAAACGAGGCGGCCAGGGAGCTCAGAGGCTATCGTGCTGAGCTGGCACCAGCGAGACCCTGGGTTTGAATCCAGGCACTGGCTTCTCAAGCGTAGCTAGTTTATGGTCTCACAGTTGGCTACGTACGGTACTAAAGAAGCCCAACATAAGTGCAACATACAAAACTGCCGTCACGTAAAAGTTGGTTCCGCACTTCATTTGGCGATAATCCAGCTTTGAGAATGATTGATATCAAGTTTGATTGTCACGTGACCGTGAACGGTTGAGCTGCTCTGTGAGGGTTCAAAAACCGATTTGTCATCTTGTGACGTGACACCAGAACGAAATTTTCTGCCGTAGCTGATCACTGTTACAACGCTGTGGGGTGATCACGATATAATTTTCTCCGATACCAAGGTTCTTTGCAAACCCACGGGTTTTTATCGGAGATTTGTTCACGAGGCAATTCAGATTTACAAACACAGACACAATTTCAACCGAGAAGATGGTTTCAAATTAAGCAACCATTGGAAAGATGTTCTAAATCGAACGAAACATGAAACTCATTTTCAATGGTACAGTATATTTTTTCAAATAGTGGTACCCCAAACTTTCGTGCTTCCACTTTTCTTCCCTTTCACACCCCCCCCCCTCGCCGACCTGCACATGTTCACCTTTCATCATGCTAAGTCCGCCAATTAAATGCTAATTTTTTATGCTAATTGCTTTGTCAAGGCACCTTGATTCCTCTCACACAGCTTAAAGGTCGCGGTCTGAGCTTAGCTGTGTTCACTCCAGCGCTGTCCTCGAGACAGTCTGGTCCCTTCACCTGATGAAGGCCGCTTGTGTTGTGGCCGAAACGTCGTGTTTTTTGTTTTATTTTTTACCTACGTGAATTTACCGAATAGAACCAAAGAGTATGGATCCTTGCAGTCACGAAAGCTTCAAATCAAAAATTTATAGCAGCCAAATGCTCTAAATGCGTGCTGATTCTAAATGTGGAGGGAAAAACCGGAGGACCCGGGAAACAATCCACGCGACCACAGGGAGCAGATGCAAACTCTAAATATACAGGCGTCAGGGTCGGGATTTAACCCATGACCTCCTGTACACCAGGCGAGGTAGTTAACATCTCGCCGCCGCGGCACGGTACACCCACTCGCTACACACAGGGATGCGTGGGCACCGGACAGAGACAGAGAGAGACAGAGACAGAGCAGACATTCCCGTGGGCAGCGCAAAGGGACAGAGACAGACAGAGACAGAGCAGCCATTCCCGTGGGCAGCGCTGCTCCGCACGGAACGCCACTCACCCCAGCTGAGCGGCGTGCTGCGTAGGTGCGCCAGTAGGGCTGGGCAGAGCGGCGCAGCCGGAGCGAGCGAGCCGTGGCGGCCCACCGTCGGTGGGGAACACTGCAGCAGTTAAGGGCGACTCTGCAGCAGCGTGACCTCGTAGCTCAAAGTGGGGGGCATAACTACAAGGTTTAGGGGGGCAGGGTGGGTGGGGGGACACGACACAGTCAATGTGGAACGAACGTTAAACAAAGGTTAAACGCGAAACAGGACGTGTGACGACACGATCTGGCTAAGTCTTTTGCGCTCTGGCTCTCGTCCCCCGTGTGCATATGAGGAAAGGATTCGACTGCCGTCGCTTAATTGCCACTGGCGTTAACATTTGTGTACACTCTTGATAAATGAGACTTTAGAAAGAGGGGGGCTGAGCATTCAGCAAGGGGGCTGTTGGAAGACTTTGGGCACGCGTGCTTCAGCGTTTGTGGCTCCTACCGTGTGGAACTCTACCCTCAGCGTATTAGCGAGAGAGACATCGGGGGAGCAATGACCTCGTGGCAGTCAAGGAGCGTAAGACATCCGGGAGTAAGCCTCCCCTAGGAGATGGGGTAAAGAAATCGGCTTCCTGTGCAGGTGCTTGAGGTGAATCATTGCATCAGGAAAATCGTGAGAGGGAGGCGGCAGCTTGGGGAGGGGGGCCTCCATCCAACAGGGGATTGACCATGGCTGATGATGGCGATGATTGTGTCATTGTCGTCATCGACGTCGTGAACGTCGCACAATGGCGACGCACGTGGCTCGTGCCGTGACCGAGTTTCCGTGGGCAAATTCGCCGCGCACTTTAAGCTGCACTCGCCCATGAAACAGCGCCTGTTGTGATAGCCTGGAGCCTTGCGCTGGTTCGAAGGGCACGAATGCCAACCGCACATTTGATTGTATTTGACTGTGGGTAATGAGCCCCAGTGAAGCGACCAGACTAAGCCAAAACGGTTAAGCAAACGTGCAGGGGGGGGGGGGGGGGTTGCAAGGAATATCGATTATAAACGATCTCTCTTGCACGTTTCGTATGGGACACACTCTCTCTCTCTCTGCCGCTCTCTGCCCTCCCCAACGAGCCGGGAGTTACGGCACAAACATCGATCAAGCCGCCGCCGCTGCAGCAGCAGCCAGCGCTCGTAGCCGCTGTTAAATGAACCCTCTGCACCGTCAGGCAGTAACACCACGGATATATATTTATATACATTATATATATTTATATAAACGTCTTTAACTCTGTTCCCTCGCGTGACTCTGAACGAAAATGTGATGGGAGGGGCTAGGCGACGTCACTGGCATAATCACCCGTGTCGCTCTGGGCATTGCTTTTAAGGGGGGGGGGGGGGGTTCCCACCTTCAGGAGGCGGGATGTGGGGACGGCCGCCGATTTTGAAAGGCGCCCTCGAGTTAATGGACCACGAAAGAGCAGTCGATTACAATTTCTGTACAATCCGCTTTGCCGACTAATGATTCCCAGCTCTAATCGGAACCCCCGTCCCTGTTCACGTGGACAAGGTTGTTCTCCTGTGAGATGAGCCCACTTTGGCAGACCTAGCAGGGAGAGAGACTGTCCTGGCCCAAACATTCCACGAATTTCGCTTGTGTCCTCGGTCATTTAATTCCTCCCCCCGCCCCCGCCGACCCCCCCCCCCCCCCATTGCACATTGAAGCTGCTGGCCATTAAGTGACGTCATGTGTGCAGCGAGCTACCAAACTCTGGTGTGTGTAGTTACCCTTTCTCGCTGTGCACTGGCAGCGCTGCTGCACCCCGTGCTTCCCTTCAGGGCAAATGCTCCATTAGTCATATCGGCCTTTCTGTTCCGGAGCTATCTCTCCCCCCCACCTCCCCGATACACTCTGGGCACTGCACTCGCCCTATTTATGCGATAAAGCCACCAACCGACATTTCAAACAATTAAGTTGTGAACCACTTCGGGCCATTCCCCCCCACTTAAAAAAAACAATAAATAGAGGACCACAGAGCTTGGGAAATTGCTGGTGCCAGTTCTGGATGTCTATCCGATTGTGGTTTCCTGCACCTCCGAATAACTCCCCCTCTCTCTCTCTGAGAGTGAACAAAAAGTGTGCCCGTACAACAAAATCTCAGTGATGAATCTTAAAATGCCGTTTGTTAATAGGCAGATTTGCTTCTACACATGAACGTCCTTGCAGCAATTTACCAAGTCAACACCAGACACTGCTGTCACATGGGGGATATTTAATATTCGGGCTCCCAGTATGCCTTTGCCGCGAGCCAGGACTGATCTTCCTCCCCGAAACGAACTCGAAACGGCCGACCGATGGGCAAGTCAACAAAATTACGAACGACAAATAGCACGGCGCCCTCGTCCTCACCGCAAAATAAAAAAAAAACAACACAAACGCGTGGCGCGGGGAGGAAGATAAAAAAAAACCCCGAAGCGTTCGTGCGAGCCGCGAGCCCATCTCGCGTCGCGCGAATTGCTTCCCGCGCGCATGCGGACAGGGCGGGGTGGGGAACGTCCCTGCGCTGCGAGCTAACGGAGCGGAGCGGCTGATGATGCCAAGTAAACAATTTATGTAATCAGTGCAAGTAAACAATGCTGTGTGCGGTTAACGTCCATATAAAATAATAAGGTCACCCCCCCCCCCCCCCCCAACATATGTATCGGTTATCCATATGGCAATGTTTTCCCCAAACGGAACAATTCACTTTACAGAACCAACTCGGTTTTAGTGGCGTTGTGTCCGTAACACTTGGGCTTCTGTACACTCGTAAAAGACAAAGATCCCCCGCACCGCCCCTCCCATCTAGTTTGCGACAGGCTTTAGGGGCAAATTCTGTTAGCAAGCACCTATGAAGGCGAGCACGATATGGGACAGGGGGGTAGAGGGGATGGCCAACACCAGGTCCAGCCGCCTAATGTTTACACACCGCACCAGGTACTCGTTTTTAGTCCGAGTAGACCTAGGAGAGGCCCAGGACCGGCTTCAGATGTTCGCATATGCAGAGATTCCGTAACGCTTTCAAGCGTTCGTTTAGTGTTCAGAAAAATGTAATTCGCGGTATGAAGGCTGACTGGCAGCAATTTGCAAATTATTTCTCTCTCTCTCTCTGGTTTGTGTCTCCTAAGTTTGGGCAAACCTCTTGATCAACCTGTGCAGCATTATATTGCAATCTATTACAGCCTCTCTGATCAAAGCCTCCCCGATGCATTTCGAGGTGGCGATGCGTCATGTTCTTCGGCGCGGTGTCCAACGTTGAACTCCACGGGGTGGGGGAGAGCTTCTTCTTTGAATTCAATTCCCGAACAAGCTCCCAGCAGCAGCGTGGTAGCGAAACGTCGGACATCGTGCCGAACAGCACGCGGTTACAATCATAAAACAAGTGGGGGAGATCTACACAGCAACAACTGCGAAAAACTACCAAGCGTTATAATTTTCGATGTAAAGCTTTCGTGACTGCAAGGATTCATCTTCTTTGGTTCTTTCGGTAAAGTCACGTAGAATGAGAATAAAATAATAAAATAAAACAATAAAATTCTCACGACGCTTCGGCCACTTGTGTTGCGGCCGAAACGTCGTGAGAATTTTATTGTTTTATTTTATTATTTTATTCTCATTCTACGTGACTTTACCGAAAGAACCAAAGAAGAAGCGTTATACTGTACAGGCTGTTCGCCTAGAACGCCGCGTGTTGTTTTCATAACGCAAATTGGATATAACGCCATGAAAGTATTAAGGGAACGCATTTTTTAGAACGCGGATGCGCATTGGACATAACGCGATTGAGTGAACGGAACTATGTCGCCCGAGTAGGAATAAACGGTTGTACGGCTGCTTCGGTGTGGCATCGCACAAGGCGGGATGCTGCTGGATGCTTCTAGATGCTACCCACGCGTCTCAGTCTTTGTTCAGCCTGCATACGCATATCTCATGCGTTATTGCGCACTGTGCTTTACCCTACATTATTTATTACAACGCGATTTTTTTCCCCATAACGCGGTGTTGTTCAGGAACGGAGCTACCACCGCCTTATAGGAGAACAGACTCTATATATACTGCACATGGAAATGTGAAGGATACGGAACGCCAGTGAATCCTGAGCAGGTCTCTCAGCTGGGGCGGCTCGAGCTCCTGCGGCGCAGGGCTTGTCCACTGGTCAGGAGTGACCCTTCCCTCGGTGGCAGCTTCCTCCGCCTGCTCCCGCCCGGAGCCGCATCTTCCGAAAATCTTTTCCAGATCGATGCAAACCCTGGGGAAGAGAAATGCGAGGGAATGTGACGTAAATTAATGCCACAGTGCCTTGCCCCCGCTGTGTCGTTTTACGTACTTCATTATTTTCCTGACACATTATTATTGTTTTGATTCTTTGCCCAGGAAAGCCACACTGAGTGGGAGGACAACGATCATGGATACTTTTTATAACCACAATTGAGTAATACGTGGTGTAATTTGTCAATGTTTAACCGTGATGTGCCAGTACATGATGGCCTACTCTTGCAAATATATAAGTCATGGGGATCCGTGACATCCACTGTGAAGCAGACGGGCGCGTATTTTATTTTTGGCTAATACACTCGAAGTATTAACCAGGGCAGCTGCTGGAAAGGAACCGTTAACCTCTGCAACAAGCGGCCAACGCGCTACCGCTGGGCCGCGTTACCGCCGGCCGCCACTGGGCGATGTCACTAGTAACGCCCTGCCCTCTAACCCACCAAAAACCACGTGCCGAGTCTATGAGCATGCTGTGGCTTTTGCGTTGTTGCGCCAGAGACTGGGAAATCGTTGATTGACGTCCGGTTGCCGGGTTGATGATGGCATTAATCGTGCTTTCTCACCGAACAAGAGTGGGCCGTGTGAAGGCTGCCATCTCCCACCGCGGTCAACACTGGGGTCAGACCGTGGAACGCACAATGACTCAATGCCCGATTCACAAAATAAGAGGGGGGGGGGCGTCATCACGGCGATGATTCACCACTCCGCTACTCCTGACGCAAAGGTCTGGCCCAACTACCTCATTGTAAAATCATAGATGTTGCTTTGCATCAGTGGTTCTTACCCTGCAGCCTTGCATCCCTTTGGTTCTCAATCGTTAACAATTTAGAATGTCACAAAATACATAGAGGGTTTGATTAAACAAAGTAGTTGTACTCACGTGCCCGTTGCTTAATTTGTGTTTCGATGATTTACCTTCTAAAAAAATCTGGCCGTGTCTCGCACCCCCAGAAAGGGCATCTCGCACCCCCAGTGGGTGCAATGTGCACCCCAGCAGGTTAAGAAGAACCACTGGACTAAGGGATGTAAACAAACATGCACAATCATAATGAGCGATACCTTTACGCAAATCCTACACGTTTTCTCCCTTTTTTCAGGTCAGCCAATGCAGTGTAAGATCATCAGACTGTAAAGCAACCTGTACCAAAATGCACGCAGACACCTATTCGGAGTGCTCTTGCCAATAACATCTGGTAAGTCATCAGCATTTGTTTAACGAGCCTGGCTCTACTGATGAGGCCCAGAAGGTCAAAACCGGCGTAGACGTTGCTTGCTTCAACAAATCCTGCTTTATCATATGAGAAATAATTATAAAAAAAATATATATATGTAGAGAGACGGACTGGAGTACCACCCAAATGTGACTTTACCCCAGGGCCGGGTCCATTTCCATGCACGTGCATTCCAGGCAGGTGCTCCCCCTATTCCCGTGTTAATCTGAAAACATCTGTAAATAATGTCTAAATACTACATTTAGAAAAAAATCCGAGAACAAAAAAAGCATATTACAATTATTTCCAAAAAGGGAAGTGATGTCACTCATATGACATCACTTGTGTTCACGTGGTGCCCAGTGACTTCACTTGCGAGCCCCAAAGTCACACACAATGTGACGTAATGCATGTAAATGATCCAAAAATCCCAAAACTGAAAGGCCCACAGTCATTCGTAGCACATTCTCCGTGCAGCTGTGGACTCTTAAGAATGTATCTAGGGCAGTGCCAGTCACGGTGGTTCCAAATCTCCCAGAGCAAATTCCTCGAGCGGTCTCAGGGACACTTCTCTGTTACCCTTATCGCACAAATCGACACCGCCAGACACAGACACCGACAGTCGCCATCAGCAGATTGCCTTACATCTCCCAGTCCGGTGCACTTCTTCTCTACGCCGTGTTGCATCAACAAGCGACTTTTTTTTTAAACGCTAGCAAATGTTGTAAATTGGGGACTAGCTTCTTTAGAAATCCGACGGCGTTGCCTGTGAGCCTACGAACTGCAACGGTGTCGCGGAGTTGGATGGGCAGACGCAGCAGCAGCAGTTGATGCATTTTGCTCCATCGTTGTTGTGTGGAACCTCTGCACCACACGAGAAGGGGGGCAGCACTTTCCTACCCGCCCTGCTGCACGGAGCGATGCTCGGCGCATGCCAATCAAACCGACACGTCATTGTCAGAGCTGCAATTTAACCAAATTAAGAACGATTGAAATGTAATATAACATGTTTTTTTTTGCGTGCAGTAATTGGTGACCGGGCTGAGACCATCAACTCACTACACTTGACAACCTTGGCTATTGATACTCGGATTCGAACTCGGGATATCAGTACTGCCAGAGCGGCGCTCTGACCTCCAAATCGCTCTGCTACCGCGACCTCTTTGATGTTTTCTTCTTTTGTCATCACCTTCGCGTGCGCACTCCGCGCCCCTCTGGTTAGAGCGCTTCGCTATGGCTTTAGGGAAACCCGGGCTTACCGGTCGGCCTTCCCTGCCAGGGACACGAGGGATTTTGAAACAAACACACCGGGTCTTGGAACAGCGAAACACGCTGTTTCTCCGTCGTGTCTCGCGCCGAAGAGACGCCCACCCCCTCTCTCCTTTCATCCCGGGACAAACATCGCCACTTAATTATTAATGCTCCGCTATATATCGGTGCAACTTTTGCACCATTGTGCTGCTCGGAGCTTCTGACGTAACTCAGAGTAAAACTTCACAGATGTACCGAGACTGTGCTGTGAAGTGGTGGCGCCGTGGCCAGCAAGCTTCGCGATGAGCACAGCACGCCGAGTTCAGTTCCCTGCCTTGGCTAACATCGGCGGTGACTGAGAGCGAGTGACGTCCAAACCGATCCTGGCCGCCCACTCCCCCCGCCCTTGGCTCACCCGGCCTAATGCCGCCAATGCTCTCAGCCCTGTCCCACGGCTTCCACTTCGTGTCGAGACACGCAGCCCCCTGAGCACGCGAGCCTACGAGCGGTCCCAGGCTCGAGCGCAAGAATGCGAGGCGCGTCGGAGGCATACCGCGAAAATGAACGTGGGTTATCGAAGACGCCGCGACACTTTGGACGTTTCCTTACTCTAAATGCGCATTTGGGAGGATGGAGGATCATGCAAATGTGCCCGTTAATCACGTAAACAATGACGTTCAGAAGAATATAATCTCTATTCTAATAACAACAATAATAAAAAAACACCTCGGATTCCATTCTGCTCCTCGCATTGCATTCATTTACTTTATTGGCTAATTAATTTTGCTTCGCGTATTTCGTACATTTTTAGTTTGCAAGTTGCAAGGCAAGGCAAGCTCTGTGGAAGCTTGTCCCTGCAGTATTGTTACCGATGCAACTTGCTCGCATCATCCGAGCAAGGAGAAATGGGCTTCATTAACTTAGCACCTATGATTTTACATTTTTGGGTTAGGCCACATCGATCACCACCGTATGTCTAGCACTGCCAATGCAACGTATCTAATTTGCTAAAGTTCGGGTTGATAATTGTTCTCGAACTTACCGGTGAGCTTAAACGATAATAGTCGGCGCATTAAAAGCTTGGGCGCAACATGACAACTTAATATGCCGGTCTATATCAGGGCGTGCAGGGTTATAAATATAAACTCCAAGTGAATTCCTGCTCAACTCAACATTGAGGCGGTGCTCAGCCCCTCTTTACTGCCCTAAGCCAGCGGTGGAAAATCCACATTTCTATGGCAGGGGCGAGTCTATCCATAGGACAACTGTTGACTTCCCAGAAGGTGGACAGGCTGAAGAATAGGCCAAGAGGGGCTCTCTCTCGAGCTCTACCGCTAAGCCAGGGTGGCTCCGATATCACGTGGTAGAATTGCTGTATTGCCGTCACACTGGTTGAAAGTGTGACTCAGTTTATATATCATCTCGTGAGCGAGGCACGTTCCCCGTCTCTACCCCTCCTCTGCCCGTCGTTTTACTTTGCCGAGAGATGGAACTTGATCGTGCGGGGGAGGGTGGGGGGGCAAAATTAACGCGGGGGAACCGAGTGAAAAAATAAGTGAAAAAGTTGAACGCCGCGAGGGTGGATTATACATACGAGATGTTGTTGCCACATTGAACATGGCAAAATTTAGGAATTATTTCAATGCAGAATTTTTCCTGGCACCTCTAAAATTGACTGGCAACGCTTCACACATGGTCCGAGTCTCGATGCCACCTCTCGGCCTGTGCCGAGTCAAGGCAATGACATAAAGTGAAATTGAAAAATAAACTAATACTGTAAAATAAGCCAATTTGTTTTTCCTTTTGTCATTCCGCTTCTTGTCAAATGCCACCCCCCCCCCCCCCCATCAATCCACGCAGTGTGTGGGCTCATGGGCGTTACATGACCATACTTCACCAAGTTCTACAGTGTGGGTTTGTGAAGCGTGGGGGAGATTGTTCAGGAATCGTTCAGATATTGCTCCGGTCATCAGATTTGCAGTGACATGAAACTGTCGTGTAACCTCATTCAATATCTATTTGTAATGCGGTCTATATTGTAACATACGCCAACGTGAGATTATATAGTTGGAAGCAAAAAAACCTCACGGCTAATTTAATACAAACATTTACTTTTCAAATGTTTGCTTCAAAACATTACCATTTTATCTGCATCGAGGTTGAACTGGCACGCTCTTTGCCAAAAAAAACATCTCATCTTATCTTATGCTTATAAATTTGATGGACCGCTAGCCATGACGACTCACACTGGCTGCAAGCCACACGTATCGAAATAATGAAGCAGCCAGCAGAAGCGTTTCAAAAGAGTGTAAGATTGGCCAGGAGCTCAGCGAAGGACGGAATTTTAATAATGAACCGGCTGCAATTCGGGTAACGTGTTTCTCTTATGCGTGCGGCACGCTTATTCGAGAACGATTCCTCCGCCCCCCCCCCCCCCCCCCACACAATAGAGCAATCGCAAAAAGTGCGCCGCAGCGCCGCCACCACTCAGATAAATTGCCGAATGGGCCTCCGCGAATTATTTTCTAAGGAATAATTTGTTTCGCCACATCAAAGGTGCAACCCCGCTCTTGGCAGCACGCCACGCCCCCCCCCCCCCCAACCGACACAGCTCCTGCTCGCACATTGACAGCGCTGCTCTCCAGGCGCTCCTCTCGCGTTTAAAGGCTTAGGAGGCTTTCGCATCTCAAACACGAAGCGCCGTCAATGCCAGCCAGCCTCTTTCTCCCCGCTCCCACGCCGACGGAGATGCCCACGAACACCTCGAGGCCGCGGTGGGGCTGGGGGGGGCGACGAATCGACCCGAGGGGTCTGCGAGAGATGCCCATGAGTTAGTGGACACTGCGTGGTGCTGGTGGGGGGAGTGGTGGTGGTTGGGGGAGTGGTGGTGGTGCTGGTTGGGGGAGTGGTGGTGGTGGGGGGAGTGGTGGTGGTGGTGCTGGTTGGGGGAGTGGTGCTGGTGGTGGTGGGGGGAGTGGTGGTGGTGGTGGTGGTGCTGGTTGGGGGAGTGGTGCTGGTGGTGGTGGTGGTTGGGGGGGTGGTGGTGGTGGTGGGGATTGGTGTTGGGCAGCGCCGTAGCACCAGGGGAGATCGATGACAGAGGGGAGGGCCCCGAGGCCTTTCGGTATGAAGGGCTCAGTGCCGCCCTTTCGAATTGTTCAAGTCGAATGTTGGTACAGAAATTTGACACCGGTGGCGGTTTTCTCCTTCGAAGTTCGCCATTTTAGTCCGTGCGTGTCCGCTTCAGTTCAGTCGATCGGCAAACAGCGAAAGGCGCGCACATACGATTTTATTGGAAGTCTGTTTGAACTTTGACTGTGTCGTGCCCCCACGCACCCCCCACCTGAGTTTCATATAACCCTCCCTGCCATTGATATATATGTTTATAACCTCACCACATTTGTCAATAACACTGGGGGCCTTAAAGGAAAACAATACAAAATTCACCAAATTTCTTGCAATGGCTCTTTACTTCATAGCACCCCTTTAAACAAGGTCACGCCACAGAGCTGCGACAGGTTTGGGAGGCTTTTCCTTACTGAGGGCCCAAGGAAACTTCCAAATAACTTTGCTTGGGCGCCAGCCATTAAACGTATGTACGTACATTGAACTTCTTTCGCACCGTAAGTAGCCACCGTGCTAATCGGAGGTGCGGGAGGAAGCACAACAAACTAAATACGCATTATCCAGTAATCCTTCCTTAGCCCTCAGCGCAATGGCATCTGGGCCAAATAGACCCAGCTCAAGTCAAACCCCGGATGTCAATCGCCACTGATGCGAGCTGTTGGGCGCGTCGGGAATCGAACTCAGGTCGCCGGATTCACGGTGCGGTAGGCAGAGCACGGCGCCTCCGCTAGCTACCCCAGCCTTTGATGTTCAAAACCTTACCTTTTCTTTGAAATTATCCTAACATTAAAAGCAATTAAAATATTTATATTTACTCATGAGTAGCGTCAATCATAGCTGAAGTTGTTTTTTGAGGAATACATTTCTCTCCGAGTATCATATAACAAAGTACACGTGAAATACAAATCAGCAGGCGACTGAAGAGGAGGCCCGATTAATCGTGTACTCATTAGTGAAATAATCTTTTCCTATCGTTTGGGAAAACGCAAATTATGACGAACAATAGTCGATTTCGTCATGCTCCTTATTATCAAGGGACTTACATACAAATGACACACACCAGCAGGCAGTGCTTAATTACATTACACCAACTAGCCGAGTCAATAAAAAGTGTGTCATTGAGAAACAAAATGAGAGTGGGAAATGTCAGGAAGCGGGCAGCCACACAACTATCACACAGCTCCCTCAAGTTTCCCAATAATTAGCGATGGGACGATGAGTCCGTTGAGTCGATTCATTGAGTCAGGATTGTAATCGGCTACATTTTCGTACTCGATTACTTGGGCCACTCTAACAACGGTGGCTGACACTCACATACTCTCTACCCGAAGGCACGAAACCCCCATACAAGCCATGCCCAGCCTGACGGCGGCGGTCGCTCAAGTCCTGCGCCCATCACCTCCCGTCCAGCGGCAACGTGTGGGGACAGATTTGAGACTCTTTTTTTCCGCAACTATTTTTCTTCTATCTGATGAGTCGAGCTACGGAACCGAAAGTCGGATGGTTGGTGTAGTGATTATTTATATGAATCAGATAGTCCAGCTTAATTCGCATCATAGAACTGTATGTTTTATGAGTTTATCATAAGAAGTTTCAGCATGGATACTCGCGGTAAACATTAATTCATGTTTCCATAGCTATAAAAAGCATCCCGTTAAATCTTCTAGATGATTGAGAACGATTCTACAGAGCAACGACGAGTGTGGCTGAGAAGTGAGAATTAGAGGATGGCTTTTAAAGTGCTTGGCCATTTTCAGCTTCTACATCAATATTTAAATCCAAATTGTAGCATCATCACAATTACTTATTCATGGTATAATGATGCCGACATTAAAACCAATTTTTATGTTTACACTATATACATGGACTCATGCGAGTGATAATTCAAATTTGATTCATGTGGTGTTGCATGTCATTGGCTCACGTGACATCGCATCGCATCACCACGAGCGAAAGTGAGAAAGTGAGTGGCTCAATTCGTTTCCTGAAGACGTTCCCAGCACGTGGAGTGAAACGTTGGACGTCATGCTGAAGAACACGTGGTTCACATTGTGATATGGTACAACGCGTACTCCCCTGGTGAGAGTGTGTGTGCGCTGCACTCTATAGCACGCGGTGCTTGGGCACTCACCTGCTGGGTCCTTTCTCAGGGAGCAGATTCCAGGTGACAGCATCAAGGCTGACCTCCACCTGGGATTGGGCGAGGTTCACCACGTCCACCAGCAGCCTGCTCCCTCTTCCACTGGGCGTCACCGAGCACGCACGGAAGAGGAGTGGGTGTTAGTGCGGTCCTCGCAGCAGCACGCTCAGACAGTGCTCCAACCTCGTAGCATCAGCAAGGGAGGGGGGATGGGGTTTGAGGGGAGTGCGGCTTTCCCCAATCCCACCTGCTGAGGATCAGCACTCCCCCGGCCCCCGTCTCCCCCCCCCCCCCCACCACTTCTATATTCTTATGGTCAAGTTACAAAAAATATGTTGTACAATATCTCTTCAGTGTTCACCAGTGGCTTTCGAACAGTAAAATTCCCAGTGCTCAGATCCTCTCCTTCGTCGTGTCTCCTGTACAACCCATATAGTCTTTTCCCAATATATTCTGAACAGTGCTCAGATAATCTACAGCGACAATGCACTAAGCGGTGGGAGACTTCTTGCAAGCGGTACCGTGGACAGCTCCTGCTGAATATGTAAAAGGAGACCAAGGATCTGCCCACATGTAAATGCAACACTACCTCTGATTGTCTTCCCAAGTGCATCAAAAGATGCTGCCCACAACTCACAGCTTTGATCCCATTTTCTCCCAACTCCCTATTTTCTACAGGGGAAAAAACACACTGCCCCACTTCCTGACTTGTTGGCAAACTCTGCTCATAAATCTGCGCTGGCATGAGATGGCAAAAACTATGATGGACAGTTGCGACTCTGGATGCAATACAGGGATGATGATGTGACGATAATTATGAATATAGAGATGATATATAATTATAATGAGGATAATTATAATGATGATTGATATAGTAATGATGATGATGTGGATGGTGGCAATGATTATAGGCATCATAACATTGATAATTGCAGGGATGATGATTATTACTATGACAACGTAATTATTACTGTCATGTTAAAACGATTATAAGAGTCTTATTACAATGTAGTCTATAATGAGTATAACGTATTTAAAGGATGATGATCATGACGATGATGACAACAGGGTTGATGATAATGAAAGGGATGACGATGAAGATAAAGTATTTGTTTGGCATTGCATCAAGATCCCTGTCATCATCATCATCGCCAAACAAAATATCTACCATCATTGATTTAAAGCTATCGCCACACGAACAGCGAGAGGGCAGCGCTTTCTAAATTCCAATAGCTTTTTTTTTCTTCTCTCGCTTCGGCTTAAAATCCCGGCCCCCATGAATCGCGAGATGCAACGCGGAATTCTTCCACATGGCTTCAGCATTTTAATTACACTCGCGGGCGACCGGCCAAGTCTGCCACGGCCATCACCTCTGGGCCCCGTCGGCCCTCTCAGTTTTCTCCAAGCTGCAGAGGAGCCCTCGGCCTCCCACGACCCGACACTTCCACACGTAGCGAGCAGCTCGAAAAATATGCCGACTCAGCGTGCACCCAAGGGGCCTCCCCGAAGTGCCGTTGCACGGTGAGACCGATTCATAACAAAGGTAAAGAGTGCAGCCGTTGCAACTGCAGGCTTACTCCACCGCTGGTGGAATAGCCTCCCAAGAGGTTAAACCTTGGCCTACTCTTCTACGCTGGCCAAATTTCTTGGAAGAGGTGGGAATCGCCACGTGTTACCCCGACACACACGCCACGTGTTACCCCGCCACACACGCCACGTGTTACCCCGCCACACACGCCACGTGTTACCCCGCCACACACGCCACGTGTTACCCCGCCACACACGCCACGTGTTACCCCGCCACACACGCCACGTGTTACCCCGCCACACACGACCTGCCGATCAACTAACTGTGGTGGAACCCATTTCAGATGCTTTGTGGACAGAGGCCGGTGGAGGGGTGGGGTTGGATTTTAGAATCCCTCCACATTGTTTCAACAGCTTCTTTCGTATTGTTTCAACTGCCACGCCGGGAGATTGAACTAATCAAACCAGCAACCTCTGGATTCTAAGTCCAACGCAAAGGTGGACAAGTGGAAAAACAAATGTGTGTGAAAGTGGACACATGAGTGAGTGGGTGAGCGGGTGAGTGGGAAAGTGTGCGAGTTCCTGAGTGACTTGGCAAATGAATTAGTTGGTAAGACAGTGGCTGCCACCTTTTCTCTTGGAGACCAAAACTGGGCAGACATCTCAGTCGGCACCAGTTCTGTGATCAACAGTGTGCAGTATCAACCAAACTTCATACCAGATATCGGTTCAAATCAATTCCTTTCAACCGAACACGGATGCCAATTCCTGGACCATCCCGAGGAAAACCCAAATAAAGGGCAACCCTGGTAACAGCACAACATCATCGATAATAAAGAGGTTTTTTTGGGATTAGATCGCGTAAATATGCGTGTGTCATTTACCTGTCACCACCCAACACAGGCAATTAGGAAGGTTTGTCACTTTAAAAACGTGCCAATTAGTTCCTGTTCCAGCACAGCGGTTGCGTTGGAGAGTAAACCCAGTTGCCGCTCCTCCGCACGGACGCTCTGTGACTCACTTGAGGGGCGGCTGCAGCACGACGCGGGCACAGGCGACCGTGGGCTGCACCAGCACGCGGACGCTCAGCGGGACGCTCCGGCAGTAGCCGCTGCTCATCCCGGGACCCCCCGCATAGCGAAAGCCCACGGAGAACTCCACGACCTGCCACGAGAAAACACGGAGGGCGGAATGGGGGGGGGGCGCACATGAGCAAGCGGCTCACCGCCGCTCGCTCGGCGCTCGCGGCCGCTGAAAAAGCAGTGGAAATTCCACCGTGCAGTCACATGGTGGAGGGGTGCTGCCGCAGGACAAGGTTGCTGGCACGCAAAAAAGCTTCCGTGGGAAAGGAGCGCTGATCTCTGTCAGCTGCCCGCTCAACGTTAATCCCGCCGTGACAATGGACAGACGAGGAACAGGGGAGGAGGATCAGAGCGGGCGTTGTGTTGCCCGGAGCAGTTACGCATCCTGTGTGACTGGATGCGCGTTCCATTGAGCGTCTACGGCCAATGATCATGGTGATATATAGAAATATATTCGATCACAACTGCTCAGCACCGTCCTAAAGGCCCGAAAAGGCCAAGCAGACAGTAACACGAAGCACCATTAAATGTGTAACAGATACAAGTTAATACGTTGCTTGAATTTCTTGAGAAAAGGTTAAACGATCATTGGGAAAATAGATGACGGGAGGGGATTCCCAACTTGGAGCAGTACGAGGGAAGAAGCAGAGAGATAGAGAAGTTATATAGGCACAGAGTCCCATCGACTGCAGGCTCTGTTCACTTCATTGACCCTGTGACATCACGCCCCGCACCAGGTGCAGCCCAAGTGACGGTGTACATTTTAGGGCAGAGATTCAAATCCTGGTGACACTCTTGGGCCAGAATCTCAGTTCCAGGGCTGGCAGAGGGACGGATCCTAGTTTTCTTTTTTCTTTTTATAATCAGCCTGCGCTACTCTACGACTCAGCAAGTCTAATACAATGACTATATGACCAATGGGGCCATGCAGATGTGCTGCAGGCAGTGTGCCACATTGCCATCATGTGAGCAGTGGCGGTCAGAAACTATAACGCTTCACAAATACTCAAGCTATGGATTTACTTTACTTAATATTAGTCCTCTTAGGCGATTACTTTCCTTCGACTTGTCACATATTTCCAATTTGAAAACAAAAAATGTCGAATCGTAATAAATAATTGTGTTTGGCGGACCAGATTATACAACTACACAGGAGGAGTGGCCATGTGCTCTCCACTGCAGCCTCCTGTCAAAGCCTCCTGTCAAAGCCTCCAGAAAACCTCCTGCTCGGCGCGTGGTTGCATCTTTCTCCATTGTCGAGTGAGATCTGACTACGATGAAAAATCATTTCGCTGTTGCCGCCGCTCACTTTGGGAATGAGCACGCTTCATGGTTTCAACTTAAATCCCTCCTGTCTTCGCCGGACTTTTTAAATCCCTTCCTTAATTCAAGACTGTTACGTTTCTGCCAGGTTAATTGAGTGGCGCAGGGCTTGGACGTTGTTGTTTTCCCCGATTGTGTTCGCTACTCAGTGTCTGCAAAGTTTACAATTCATTCGCTGCTGTTTTTCACCAAGTTCCTCCGCGAGTTATTCTTGTAAAACAGCTCGAGGCCTAATGTTCCTTCCCGCGTCGACAAATATAATCCATCAGTCTGAAACTCTCTCCCGTCTGCAACAATGCACGGGCGTCTTTTAATCCACTGCTGGGATGACGGTCTACCCTGTGCGTTTTGGTCATGAGAGTTGTTTGACCATACTTCACCGCACTCAAGCGATTTGCTCGTCGGATTCACAACACAGTGCGCTAACCGTTGCGCCACCATTCCCCCTTAAGCACAACCATCATCGTCATCATCTGTCCTTTCCGTCGGCTCATTTGTGGCAACGGGGCCCGAGCAAATTTCCATCATGGTTCTCTCTCTTTAGCAAGATCAGCTGATTCATTCCCTTTCCAATCATTCTTCTTAGAAATATTTTGCCACTGCGCATTTGTTCCCAGTTTGGCTTCCGTTGTAGCTCCACGTGCGTGGGGCGGCTTCCTCCTCTTCTTTGTTTTATTCCTATGCATTGCACGTCATTAGTTCGTGCGACCCTTGCAGCCACCAGAGGCGCTACAACGCACCGCATTGCTCACGCAAAACAATTATCATCGTCCAATTGAAAATTGCATCGCATCACACGCCGAAGGAGAAAAGCGGGGCGGCTCGATTCACATCCTGAAGAAGCTGCCAGCCTGTGGAGCGAAACGTCGGACACTGTGGTTTGGGACCGGACAACACACGGTAAGGCACAACCTGAACACCCATCGGAGGAGTTCCGCTGTCATTCCGTCAGTCTTTCCACCCGGGGGGTTTCAATCTTCAATTACGCACATCACATCCTGGGGCAGCTATTGTCACCCCTAGACATCCGCTCTTTGATTATACCTCTGTGGGACTTCAAGCTCTCAGGGGTCGAGGAGGTCAAGACTGAAGCACCGCCAAAAGACAAGTGCAAGGCACAAATAAAACCTGCCACGGCAGGACCTTCAAACGGGAGCGGAGATCGTGCACGGGCGCGCACACGCAAATGTCACGTTAGCCACCGTCACTCTCGCTTCAGGAAGCCGGGACGGCGGTGCAAAAACGCGGTGCCCTGTGCAACGGGCACAAATGCTTCAGGTGCCTCGTGCCGTGCTGGCTACTTCGATTAAATCGCACGAAGCCCTCCCTACCTTCCATTCTACTTTCTGTGTTTAGTTCGTTGGCCTTGCCTCCCACACCTCCGATTAAGCACGGTTGGCTACGTACGGTGCAGAAGAACATACGTACATTAATGCATCAAGGGAATGGCAGGCGCTGCTTTTCATGCGCAAGCTGCGGATACAAACCGTAAACACACAGGCCTGCAATTGGTTGCTCACGCCAATTTTGGCAATTGGACCCTACGCAATTGGGAGCCTCAAGAGGACACATCTCGAGGGTGAATTTGGCCTACTCTTTTGCGGCCAAGTGGCTCGGTAGTAGAACGATGAGCGGTTTGCGATGGCAAGCGTTGTGGGTTCGTATCCTGCAAACGGGAAATGCGCACCACCTTGATACTCATTTTGTTGATTTGCATATTAGCCAGATACGAAGTAACTAACTACGTGTATTTAACCAGGTAAAGCCCACTGAGCTCTGTAGCTTTTTTCAAGAAGCGACCTGGCCACAAATGGTAGCTCAATTAAGGGGGCGTCCATAAATGACGTCACGCACCTAGGGGGGGTCAGATTTTTGTGACGATGTGTGACGAGGGGGGGGGGGGGGGAGTTTGAGAAATGTGACGTCACATCAAAATGCGCAACTTTAAACAAATATAGAATTGTTATAACAACACTAATTGTTATAACAATACTCCTTCAAAATCAGAGTGCAGCGCCACATTAAATACGCACTACAATGACAATAGTTTAAAGCGATGCGAAGCATGTTTTATTTTCAAAACGTAAATATGGCTGGGGGGGGGGGGGGCAGAGCTTTGTGACGTCATATTCCAGGGGGGATCTGACTTTTTGTGACGCCGTGTGACGAGGGGGGGGGGTAAAAAATCGTCAAAAATCGCGTGACGTCATTTATGGACGGCCCCTAAGTGGCTTGGCATGTGGAAATTTATAGCAGCCAAATGAGCGACAAAACAGTGGGCGAACGCTATATACTGTACACTGGTACGGAAGATAAACACACGCGATAACTGCGCGAGTAGCTGGCTCTTTGCAGGACTTCTCGTGCTCACCGTGGTGGCGGTGCGTCCATTAACAGATGTCGCCAAATCATGCTTCCTCTATTTTAAAAAAAAATATCGCCAAACTATGCATTTCAAAAATAAACGCCAGCACCCGCCCGCCCGCAGCTGTACTTGCGTTTAATTTCACCCCAAGGTCCGGGGCTACGTCATGTCGGTCGTACCACCGGCGATCAAATTGCACAAAAGCAAACACGGCGACTTTTTTCCACCCACTTTCCCCACCACACAGCACATTGGTCCCATGCAAAGACTGTGCGATCAAATATTGACTCTTGCTCCAAAACAGACATTAAACTGCCAGAAGCAAACGGTGATGCTGTAAGCTTCTTCTCAACTACCGCGACAGGTGAGTGGTGCATAGCGGGATCGGCGGCTTGGACAGAGAACCAACGCGGAAGGGTAGGAGGACCATAGCATTCTGTAGTACGTGCGTCAGATCCATGTTTTTCGGGGAAAGAAGGGGGGAAGGGGGAGTCAGTCTCATTTCAAGTTCAATCGAGTAAACTCGGGGTCACTCGAGTGGCATTCACAAGGGGAACCCAGATCTGAGTGAACTTCTCTTCCCTATTCCTCAGTTTCAGACTCAGGTGTTCTAAAGCTGCTAGGGCAAATAGGGAGTTACACCAGAGGGTGAATTAGGGGGGCCCCATGATTATTCCAGGTGCTCAGGATGCTCTTTATAACCGAAATGTTAAATGCTTGGAGAAGGGTGTGTTGGTGCCTGCTGATGCCTTCGGGTTTAAGACTCAGGAGGGAGGATTCAATGCTAGGTAGTTTCTCGGTGCCAGACATCGCGTTGTACAGATTGGTTATTCTCTCAAAGAAAGTCCTGATGGTGGGACAGTCCCAGAAGGCATTAATGTAGGTTTGGATGGTGCCCGGAGGGGGGGGGGGCGCCTAGGGCAATCTGGGGATATGGTCTAGGAGAATTTAGCCATCTGTTGGTTAGTGAGATATGTGCCACAAAGGAACTTAAATTGAATCGTTCTGAGAGGGAGGGATCTTCGACCTTGCCGGGGGTTGTGCCAAATAAGTTTACAGGACTCATGGGATCGGGCAGCCCAGCGCCCCCTCCCAAAGTGCCCTGGTTTTTTTATCTCACCTCAGAAGGGCCCGGAAGTAGGAGTTGGTATCCCTCAGATATGTTATAGTGGGCCCTCTTCTCCATCAACCATTCCCATATTGGGGAGGGGATCTTTCGGTGGTGGAGGTCAATATCCCTTGCTTGTTAATAGAGCCCCTGATCTGGAGAAATAAAAAAATGCTATTAGGGATGTTATGTCGCTTTCTAATATTTTAGAGAGTGTCCACCTCCCCCCCCCCCACCCCCCCACCGACCCAAACGAGAGATCACCCACGCTCCCGCTCTTTTCCAA